GTGTTTGGGGTGGGGGTGTTGGGTAGTTCGTGTTCTGCTAAACCGGGGTAAGAGGCTCAACAAGCACCGAGAACCCCCATTGGCTGCTGATTAGGAGTGTTTTTTAGGAGCACAGGACGGTAATATTAAACATGATGGGACCACCCCCCTGGGGGGGAGGGGTGTGGGGGGACCCAGCTGTACATACTAAGCTACATGACAAGCGGAGAGGCGTGGGTCCCTCACCCAATCTCATACTGGCAGGATCAGGGTGGGGCCCCCCCTGGACGGTGCCCTCTCATTGGCTCAGCAGATAAAGTGCACATGAAGTCCTGAGGAAGAGCCCGGTCACTGTAGGGAGCAGGAATCCCTCTCCTCCTCATCCACCTCGTGGTACTCCTCGCTCTGCTCCGCGCTTGTCTCCTCATCCTGAAGTCTGTCCCGAAGTTCCAGCAGAAGATCCCGATTCTCACCGGCCGGGAGGTTACTCAGGTAGTATTGGGGGGCAAATTCCACCAACCTGCAGGAGGAAGAGGAGGGAAGGGGTCAGTGATCCGCAGAAGTCTGGAGCCCCCCGGTGGTCAAGGGGGAGATTTCACCTCCCTTCCTGCCCAGGTGCCCCTCTCTGGACTGCATGGGGGGGGAGATAGGGCACCACCACCAGCCACCAACATAATATGGAGAGGGCAGGAGGCACAGGAAGAGCCCGGTGTGCCAACAGGAAGTGAAGACACAAGCACCTGGAGTTCAGTGCACATTGTGGGGGAGGGGAGGGGGCGGGGAAATACTTATATTATGATCTCATCATCAGAAAGTAGACGTTCTGCCCCAAGATGTCTCCCGGCTTCCTACCCCACCTAGGAGTGGAGCGATGACCTTCTCTACCACCAGGGGGTGGGGCTATCACCTCATTTACCACCAGGGGGTGGGGCTATCACCTCCTGTACCTTTAGGGGGTGGGGCTATCACCTCCTGTACCACCAGGGGGTGGTGCTGTGAGCCCCTATAGAAGTACATGGTGGTTCTGTGCTCAGGGAGCGTTGGTCCCGCAGATGGGGCCCTAGCAGACATTACATCAGAAAGGGGGCCCCGGCTGGGCCGGAAGTGGGGTGCATGGTGGACCTCACAAGGAGAAAACCTGTCCCGATTTCTGGGTTGGAGGGCTCTGAACACACCCCTGGAGGACAAAGGGGTGCAGAGGAAGGGCGGGGTCATGAATGAGGGGGCGGGCCCCAGGAGGATCACTCACATTTCTGGATGGATTTCAGTGGCCACGCTGATACAGTTGTCCTGAGTGATGCTGAAGTCGTGGTAGAGGACCCAGGCGGGGGGAGGGGCGCACTCGTAATACACGGAGGAGGGGTGCAGGTGGGCCACATGCTTGTGAGTGAGCATAACATAGTTCCCCTGTCCATCCACGTCCTGAGCCACCTGCAAATGTGAGCAACACGCCATCAGTACACCCGTGTCCCCGCCCCCCACACATGATCACGTGACGGGACTATGCCCCTCCCACTGAGTCACCTCCAAATAGACCATGCCCCTCCCACTGAACCATCTCCTCATATACTATGCCCCTCCCACTGAGTCTACTCTCCTGATATACTCTGCTCTGCTGGAGGACTCTGCTCTTTCCTCTATGACTCTCCTCTCCTGGAGGACTCTGCTCTTTCCTCTATGACTCTCCTCTCCTGGAGGACTCTGCTCCTTCCTCTATGACTCTCCTCTCCTGGAGGACTCTGCTCCTTCCTCTATGACTCTCCTCTCCTGGAGGACTCTGCTCCTTCCTCTATGACTCTCCTCTCCTGGAGGACTCTGCTCCTTCCTCTATGACTCTCCTCTCCTGGAGGACTCATATACTCTGCTCTGCTGGAGGACTCTGCTCCTTCCTCTATAACTCTCCTCTCCTGATATACTCTGCTCTGCTGGAGGACTCTGCTCTTTCCTCTTTGACTCTGCTCTCCTGGAGGACTCTGCTCCTTCCTCTATGACTCTCCTCTCCAGGAGGACTCTGCTCTTTCCTCTATGACTCTCCTCTCCTGGACGACTCTGCTCTTTCCTCTATGACTCTGCTCTGCTGGAGGAC